CCAATTGACCGATCCCGATTGTGAAATAAAGTGTCGACCGAAGTCGCCTTTAAATAATTACATTGTTACGCGTAATGTGTGGCATGTGGCGCTCATCATTCACAGTTACGTAACGATACGCATCATCTTTGAAGAAGTACGATCCAATGATGCCACCAGCTCATAAACCGCACCCAACTGTGACTTTTTCTGGATCCATTGGTAGCTCGTGCAATGCTTCTGGCTTATCTTCACTCCAAAATCGCACATTTTTATTTTATTTACGCACTCATTAAGCTAAAAATGTGCTTCGTCGCTGAACACAATTTTTTATTTTTTATTTTTTGAACTTTCTTAACAGAGTACACATTTTGATAATGAAATTCCATAATTTGTAAGCGTTGTTCGTTTGGAAAACGATTCATGATTAAATTATAGGCCAAATTGAAGATGTTTGACAGTGATACAAAACACGAAACGTGCGTCAGCTGCTTAAATCAGTGTAGCCAAAAGGATAATAGTTAAAAAATCACCCTTTAAATAAAATATGATAGTTTTTTTTACAGAAGCTTGGGTGGCTAGTAAAAGTAAACTTACTTATATAGTACCCCCTTGCATTGGGTACCCATACACCTATGCACATAGAGCCATGCGTGCTTCAAATGGAGTTGGTTTGAGCGCTTCATCCATCGCGTGTTGTTACCCTGAATTCTGTTTGAAATTCCTGCGTTCTTTGATATTGTTCTATAGCTCGAGGACATGCCTCCACTTTGTGAATATAGTAAATGTATGGTATAAATATATAATATAAATGTTTAAGCGATGAAAGAGCCAGCCTTCAGAGCTGGAAGTACCAGTACGTGTAGGAAAGTAAATAAGAGATAAAATATGCACCGAAGCAGGGCTTTTTTAAATTTTAATTTTTTTAATGATTTTATTTTGTTGATTTTATGTTATTTGTTATTTTTTATGTTATTTTATTTTATTTTAATTTTATTTAATTTATTTGACTTCATTAAATTTTATTTTATACATTTTTTTAAATTTATTTTCTATTTTTATTTTTCATTTAATTTTATTTTACTTGTTTTTATTTTTGTTCATTTTATCATAATAAATAATATCTTTTGAAGTATTTTTTCCTGCAGACCTACTTATACGAGTATGTTACAATATAATCGCTTTCGTGTATTAGTGCAACTGAATTTGGGTGGCAAGTAAACAAGCAGGCATTAGAAAAGCTACCTTTTTTTTATTTTTAGTTTTTTACATACAAATAAATAATTTTTTATATGAAAATGCTCACTTGCTTTCAAACATTCACTTACATGCCGGTCTCAGAATGGTATGACAAAGTTTTTCCTCATTGCTTGAAAGCTTTGACTTCAATTTAAAGTTGCATATTAAAACGCTTCCACCAGGAACGATACTACTAAGGACACAGCAGTTACATACATATATTTTTTAAATATCCTTCTGTTTTTGTCGGAAGGTAAGTAAGCCGCTCTATTCCTCAGTTCAAACAAAAATATTTCTTTCTGCAAGTTTTCATTAATTTTTGATTTCGGTCTTATCACTGTGCCACTTTTTTTTTTAATTGGAATACGAGATTTGATAAATCACCGTAATTAATAACGGCGACCATCCGTCCGTCACTTGCAAAAATTAATTCTGATTAAAAAAGCAAAATCAAAAAGTAATAAAATTATTTTATTTTTTTCTCAAAATACCGGATCTCTTTATATTTGGAAACTACACGCCATTTATTCGGGTGGGAAGACAAGGCAAACCGGCTGCCATTCAAAAGCGCTGGGTGGACGGTCAGTGGGCTGGAAAATGATGTCATGCCAACTATCGACAGCTGGCCAAGCGTGCACATTAAAATCAAAAGCTTTTCAATACCAAAAAAAAAAGTTTATAATAAATAATTTGTGAAAATAAGTGTTTAAATTTCAACTTGGAAAAATTGTTAATAAAAATATTTTAAGCGGAAAAGTAATCACATATGCATACGCATATATATTGATTTGTTAATATGTTTTAATTTCATAATTTTTGAAAACTTTTTCACGCTAAAATTTCCATGTATTGTACATACATATATACGTGTATTTACATATGTCTGTCTGTAATTTAACGCTACAAGCATCAGACATCAAAGCGTCTACATTTTCTCACCAAAAACACGAGTTCACATTTGTTAAACAAGAAATGAAAATTTACCGCCGGCGAGGCATTGAAATTGAAATTGAAATTTTGTGTGGTGAACTGCGGTGTAATTCTGATGATCCGAGTTGTTTTGCCAAAATTAACACCTTCCCCACCAAATAAGTACATGCGTCGCGTTGCGCCCGGCAAGTGTGAGGTAATGAGCTACATAGAAAAAAAAAATACACACTCTTATATGCGTACATATTTACACATTATATCTACATATATATATATGCGAATAATGAGTTTAATTTCATTTGTTGTTGGAATTTTTTTTTTAATTTTTCTTCTAATTTTGGTCAGAACTTTTGGTGTTTTGTGGCGTAATTGGAGAAAAATAATTCAAATAATTGCGAAATGAGTCAATTTTCACCTTTAGGTTTTTGTCAAATGAGAATTAATGATTGTGAGTTTACAAAGTTGTTCTCTTTTTTTTTTTTTTTGCTAAAATGGCAAAGAAATCATCTACATGATTCTGCGTTGCCTAGCCTAGATAGCAGTGCCTCAACTCCTTGAAATTTCATAGTGTTTAGAGGACAACACCAGTAGATCTGATTGGAAAGTGGCAGACTCAGCTCATACTAATGCCTAAAGGGATTGCATGGGTTTAATCGGAGTAAAAATGTTTATTTTAACAATGTTTTTTTTATATGAAATTAAATGAAAAATTAATGAGGTGTTTTTTAGTAGGAAATGTAAATGTTGACAAAACTTGCTCAAATTTTATTTTTAGTACTGAAATAGAAGACTTAGTGGTAAAAAAATGAGGAGAGAATGGCAGAGATACGATTAAAAACAGCAGAGAAAAACCGAATCGTGCAAAAGACTATAAAGTCAAATTTCACATAAAAAAACTGACTCTGAAAGGCACATAAGAACTTTAAGCCTCCAGTTAATGTGATGGCAAATGGGCGCTAAGCAACGAAGAAAGGCAAATTATTTTGCGGAATATTTATGCAGTATTTCAGCGGAATGTTGAAAATAATAATTTTATGTTGCCAAAGAAAACTCCAGGTTTTGGCAAAAATGGTGACTCAAGCACTGCGCTCGGAAAACTTGAATGAGACTAGGTCACTCTTGAAATGCGTGGAAATAGTCGGAATAGTCTTTAAAGAGTGTGCAAAAGCAGCGCATGACGTGATAAATGTCCTAGAAGCATTTACTTCTCAACGAATATTGGCTGTCAAAATGCCACATATACATATCTACTCATTTATTAACACCAAGACGTAAAATTTAAATCATAAAAGTAAAACTTAAAGCGAATTCGCCATTTAATTATGGTCTCAGCTTTTGTTCTTAAAAAAACAGTCAAAAACGAAAGAAACAAAAATTTATTTTATAATTTTCACTAATAAGCATAATTTTTTTTAAATTTATTTATTTATGTATTTTTATTCAAAACATACAATTTTTGATCTACACAACATATAAAAGGGCAGCCGGTAAAAATGCGCGGTATATACAGCGGCTCTCAGCCGTTAATGATGCCGCTATGTAAGAAGTTGTATTTTATAAGTGATATTTAAAATAAAATAAAATTCCCAAAAAGCATGAATTCCAGTTAATAGCCGCAGATATACACATTTCATTGATGCTTTAAAAATTTTATATTTTATATTTATTTTATGTAATTTTCAGCAAAAACAAACTTTACTTTTAAATTGCACCTCACAGCAAAAATGATGCAGTAACAAAAAAATTTAAAAAAAAAAAAATAATTTTTTTAAGAACAAAACTAAAACTGTATGTTATTTGGTATTTACTAGGATACCCCTTGCTGTCTATGAGTGCTTTCAAACGTTTGGGCATGGATTACACTGACTTCTTCGTGTGGTCATGAGCAATATTGTTTCATTCTGTTTGTAGGGCTTTTTTAAGCCCGCTTGATTTCGAATGTCATATTTTCGAATCTCTTGTTCCAAAACTGATCACAGATTCTCAATCAAATTCAAATCTAGAGACCACGCTGAGGTTTTTACTATGTGCGGACAGTTCTAAATGAACCAACTTTGCACAACGCCTGATTTGTGTTTCGGATCATTATCTTGATAGTACTGAAACTTATGCCGAATATATAATTTTGAGGCATTTTGCAGCTAATGTCTTTTTAAAATGTTCAAATACACAGCGCTGTCTATAGTACAATGGATGAAATCCAAATTTCCAACTCCAGAAGTCGATACCATTACATGCCCTCCACCATGTTTTACAGTGCAACGTAAATTTTGCGGTTGTCTTTCCATCTGGTCTAAACAAGTTGAATTTACTTTCGTCCGCAAAAATTACGGTGTTCCAGAAACTTTCATCTTTATATAAATGCTCCTCTGCAAAATTCAGCCTTGCACTTTGATTTTTAGCACTGACATGGTTTATTTTGAGCTGTGCGGCCATTGAAATCAGCTTCTCTGAGGATTCTTCGTATAGTTTCTGGGTTACAGCTTTTTCCAAGATATTTTAGCACTGCTTTACCTAAGGCAGGAGCACTTAAGTGGAGGTTTTCGCGTATTTACCGTACAATCCATCCGCAATCACTTTCGTTAAATATTTTATTATGAGCCGTTTTAGCCGCTATTAATTGGCATTCGTGTTTTTTTTTTGGGAAATTTATTTAAATTTTTAAATAAAACTTATTATACTATTTCTTAGATAGCTGCATCAACTTGGCTGTGAGCCACTGTGTAAAAGAAAATATAATTATGTACATATATACGTATATTATATTCCAATATTATTATTTATCAATTAGTCATTGTAAATATATATTTCTTATTTGTAAACAAATTTGCATTTACAAAAAAAAAGCTTACCATAATTACATGGGAAAACTGCCGCTTAAGCCATTTACCGTTGTTGCATTTATGGGATTTGTTTTCATATATTTTTGACTTTTTTGTATTTTGTAACCTTTTATTGTTGTATTTTCCAACTTTATTACGACAATCTGCTTTTTCCCATAATTTAATAAATTAATTTGCTTATTCGTTGCTATTTGTGCTTGCTTTTTATGCCTTTGTGTTTTGTTAATTCTTTTTCCTCTTTACGGCATTTTTTATTTTTATATTAAATCATTCAATGAATTTCGCATCCAAATTGCAACAGTAACATTGCAATGTAGCAGCTTCGCTATTTGTTAATACTCTTATGCATTGGTATGTACGTACATATGGTATGTATGTATGTAGGTGTGCACAATTTGTATCATCGCCGGTGGCTGGTGGCTTCCGCTGGAATGCACACAACAATTCTACGCTGCACTGGAAAAGCAAGCGAAAAAGTCACAAATAAATCAATATGTATGTAAATACCATTGTATATATATTTATATGTTGTATGTATGTGTATGAATATAAAAAAAAATGTTATACAATACAATTGTTGAATGAATAAATGTTATGGCATAAAATGCATAATTAATGAAATTGTTGGAATGTTTTTGTTAAGCCAGCGGGCAAAGTTAGTGCAAACATACATACATACGAACACATACAAACATGCAAACCAACAAGACAGCCATCAGGTGGCATTACCTGCCGGCGCACACACAAACTGGCCAACAACAACAACAACACTTGGCGGGAAAATAGTAGCGGAGCAAGAAAAATGCGTTGTTACATTTAAGTTTTTTATTTATTTATTTTGCCTTTGTTTCAGTTGACTGCAGTTAACATTTGTTGGTTTGCATTTGTTTTTTTTTTTTTTTTTTTTTTTTTTTTGTATATGAAAAAGTATTGTAATTGTTGTGTCATGTAATTGCAGCGAAATTCACTATAAAGGCCACTGCAAAAGCATTTTATTTGTATATATGTACACACACATGTATGTATGTATGTGTGTATGTATATGTGTGGACATTTGTAACTACATTTTGGCCTACAAATAAGCATTGCAACTGCGATTGCGATTGCGATTGAACAAAATAAACTTGTTCGTTCGGTTGTAAATATATATGTAATGACTTGTTTGAGAAAATATTTATATGTTGTAAAAAGCCAAGCTTTGGCCAACATTGTAAGAAAGCCTTAACCCGTCGGCTTTTATTTATGTCACAATCGCTTAGATGCTAGACATTTATAGAAATGTACACAAAAGTTTTGTTACAAATTAAATAAATTTACTAAAGTGATTTTCAAAAAAAAAAAAAAGAAGAACTTGAAGATCGTTTTATAGGATGAAAGCAAGACATTTGCATCTTGGTAACCCTGCCAGTCGATAACGGCAAGTGCTTCGATTTCATTCCAAAGATATATCTAAATGGAAAAACCCGTTACACGCAATTGTAAAGTACACAAATCTACCTTAAATGTTTAGTTTGGAGACCTTTTGGCAGCGCAATTTCGTCAGTACTGTTATTTTTGGAATAGGACCAAATGAAAACACCCGACGTTAGATACGTATATATACGTGGCCACGGTAGCCGAGTTGTTATCATTGCCATTCGGAAGGCCAGTGTTGAACTCCTGGTACGACCAGCATATAAAAGTTTTAGAAAATTAATTTAAATAAAAAATTAAGCTAAATTTTCTTAAAGCGGCTGCCCCTCGGAAGAGAATGCCCACCCCCCCGAGTGTATTTCGAACAGGAAATAAAGCTCCTCATAAAAAACCATTAGCCGTTCGAAGGTGGCTTAGTAAAAACTGTAGGTTTTGGGTCCAACACATAGATGGCGCTGGTCTTAATGTATTCGCCGCTTTTTAGTTACAAATTCATTATATTATATTCATCAAGTTGCGCATTATTATGACGGGAGTGATAATATTATTATTACTATCAAAGCAGTGGATCATGAATCAATGAATTTGTTGAGAAAATATATTGTTACAGCGTGCTTTCAGCTTCTTTGGATAATATGGTCAGATGAAAGCATGTCCGATGGTTGGAACCTAAGGATGATCTGCCCATCCATAAAAAAAGGGACCGTCCGCGCTAATTATAGTAGAATACGCCTGAAAGACTAGAGCCCACCACTGTTAGGAGCCTAGGCTAGATCATCTTGGCCTTAGATCTGATAAATCCACCATTGAGCAGATGTTCACCGTTCGAAAAATCTTCGAAAAGTCTCGTGAAAAGAGAATTGACATACACCATGTCCTCGTTGTGTTTAAAGCAGTCTTCGAAGCGAATGAATCTGGTGGTGAACTATGACAAACGTGAAAAGTGTCCTGTCATCGAAAAACGAAAAAACAGGTTTTGCATTCGTCGAGTAGTGTTAATGTTGAAAGTCATAGCTTCGAAATCCTCGATCATTTTGCCTATATTGAAATGTTTTAACAACAGTTTCAGTCAAAGCAGATTCACTTTTGCTTGCCAACAGATGCTACTTTGAACTGAGTAGGCAACTGAAAGGTATATTTCCCTCTCTACGAGATAGCTAAGCTAGTTAGGTCATATTATTCGTATGGAAAGTTTTGAAAGTTTTCGCTGCAGTACTCGCCGGTGGAAGCAGAGGAGGGTGAAGATCTCTATTCAGTTGAGAGAACCAAGAGGTGATATACCGGGCTGCCCTTGATATTTCGAATATCGAAGCCATTAAAAATATATAGATCAATAATGCAATGGAAAAAAATATAATATGGGGTTATTTGAAACTTAATTAGGACTTTTCGTTATTCTTTGCCTATCACCTCCTTTATAATACCAATTTCAATATCTGGATTAAACAAAATACATAAAGCCACAATAACGTATGGTCGGGAACAGTTAGTTTTAAAAAAATACATATTGAATTTGATAAGAATTCTTATTTGCTCCTAGAAAAATTTATTTCCCAACTGCCTTCGGCTTACTTTCAACCTGCTTTCAGCTTTTTGCACTCAGTTGTCGGTTGTATCTTATGAATTTTATATAAAGTAATCACATGGATGTTTAGATGCGAGTGTAACCCCAGAATATCAGAATTCTTTATTATCCTTCACTTGTTTCTCTGGGGCCTAAATGAGCACTTTGCAACACCATCGCAAGCGGAGAGCACTTGCATCGGCTAAAATATGCAGCTTAAACTTTTGGCAGGAGGGAGGGGAATAAACATTTTAAAAGCATTATGAATGTATATACATACACACATACATACATATACAAATGCATATATGTATAGGAAAAAAATTCGCGTTGCCAATCCGCAAAGTTTAGTGAAGCGAGTGGAAATGGTAATGCCAACATGAGAACAACAAGCACGATAACTAGCATACAAACGTACATATATATGTACATGCAATGGTTTGGCGACCACAATTTGGCATTGGCCGAAATGTGCAACAGTAGTTAGATACGTGTGTATGTATGCAGTTGCACTTAACACGTGCAGTAGCTGCCATTAAAAAGCAACCAAAAAGAAAAAAGTTCTTATGAAAGTAAAGGAGAAAAAGTGAAAACAATGAAACTTAAATCAAGCGCGCAATAAGAAAGAAAATGCAACTAAATAATAAAGCTCATGAAAAATGGAACGGAGGAAAGTTGAGGCAAAAATGTAAATTATTCGGACAGTTGCACTTATGCAATTCCCGAGTGGGAAAATGCTGCCACAATTTAATGGGCTGCTGCTCGCTCCCGGCGCTTAGACTTTTGAAACACAACCTAATTAACTGAGGAAGTACGACATTGGGTACTGCCACTTTGGAGTAAAAATTAAAATTTATTTGATTTTTTTTGGAAAGTTTAACTTGTTTGAAATTTTAGTGGATCAAGTCTTCACTTAATCTCAATTTTTTTCAAAATTTCTCTGAATCGGGAACTTTTATTATGTATATATGAACCATGAAGCAAAAGATATTCAAGAATGCAATTGAAATATGAAGAATTCTTCAAAGTCATTAGCATAATTTTCTGCTCGCATCGTGCTGATATGATTGTGAAAATATAATGCGTGTATTTCATAGATTTTACTGTATGCCTGCTCACCGCCCTGCCAGCAGCGTGCCGCCGTAAGCAAACGATTAGATTCTTGTTTGTAACAAATATGTATGGGAGAACATGACTCAGATGGAGAACAAACATGTCGATGCAATTGTATATATAACTATACATGAATATACTTGTTAATGAGAGATAGAAAGACAAGCAATAAAATGAATGGAAATTATTAAAATAAATAAAAAAAAAAAAATAAAATAAAATAAAATAAAATAAAATAAAATAAAATAAAATAAAATAAAATAAAATAAAATAAAATAAAACAAAATAAACAAGATAAAACAGAAAATTTCAGAAAGGGCATTTCACAGCGCCAAAGTGCATTTTTATAACCTTTGCTAATTGCAACGCAAGTAAGTGGATGTGTATGTTCCCTGCAGGAAAAAATACAATTGTTAACTAGAATCCAACTACTTAACATTTTTACGCCAACTGGACGCAACTGGTATTTTTGACACGACGATGTTCTACGAATTGTTAATTGTCAGTCTATGCATCAGCTTCATACTAGTTTTTTACCAGTTAAAATACTAGTTGTTTCATACCAATTGAGAACTAGTTCAGCCATTCCAAATAGTCACACCACTCTCAATTAAATTTTTATGAATATGGTTTTGAAAAACTCTTTGACTAGAGACCAACTAGTTTGAAAAACCGAACTCACGTTTCAGTTTACTTGAAATTTGGTACACTACATCTTGGATCTATATAACTGAAGCTTAATTAATCCAGATATAAAAGACTACAATAATATATGGTTGTTGTATTGGATAGTCGAATAATATGTGTCCTCCTCTTTCTTTTTCTTTTGCAATTAAAGAAATTGATATCAATCATATACTAGAATTTTTGTAATCTAGTCCAAGTTTTACCAAAAATTACTAGTGTAATTTTTGTCTATGGCAAACTAGTAAATTTTTGTCCCAAAATACTAGTATTTAACTAGAGTCTTTGCCCACCAGTCTTCTTTTGCCCTGCAGGGTTATTTTGTATTTATATATTTTAATTTACAGGTCAAAACAAAAACTTCTGCGCTTACGAAGTGCATTAACAGTATGGCGTTGGCAACCGCAGGGGAATTCCCTTACAACGAGAGAAACGAGAAAAAAGAAAATAACAATAATCGTATAGTAAAACCAGAAAGCATAAGTGCAGCAGATAAATTTTTTTATTGCTTCGCTTAAAATCAGAAAACCAACTGAAAGTGTACAACGAAATTCGCAAACTGACTTTAAGCGAGCAGAATAAGGAAAACCTGGAGAAAGAGAAATAATAGTGAGGTGAGGAAGTGAAGAGTGTATGCGGCAGAGAAGATACAAAAAAGGAATATCAGCGGAATTGCTACACTGTAACCGTGCACATGTTTTTGTGTTGTTTTTGTTTTGTTCCTCTTCTCCGATTTTTATTTCGTACTGCTGATAGCTCTGCGTCTCGTCCTCTCCAGACGCGGCTACTTTTAGTGCATTCATGCGAATATTTGTATGTACGTGTATGTTTGTATATTTCACAGATGCAGACGATTTTAGTAACAGCATCTTAAGGTTACACATAAAAAACTTAAAGTCACTCACTCGCAGATACTCACACACACACATATATGCACGTATATTTATTAGTCTCTGGGACATTCACTTACTTAGTGGAAACATATGATGCTGTCGCTGCCGCTGCCGCTGCTGCTTGTTGATGCTAGCGAATCTCCGCTTAAAGATAAATTTTTATTACGCTACTTTTGTTATTGAGTTTTTTTTTCGTATTTTTTCTTTTGTGTCTAAATTTTTCACACAAATTTTAATTGTGTATTTCAAATTTTTTAGTGTATGTATTTACATATGTGCATAAATTTCATAAAATTCACGAACAATTTCACTATTTTTAATTTCTACATTAACACACATACATATTTATGTTTGCTCAACATTTCCGCTCACATATTTTCACTTTTTTTCTTTCTTTTACTAATATATATTTAAACTTATTGCCTTAAATTGGCATACAAAAAGAGAAGAAAATGTTTACATTTGTGGTCTGAAATTAAATATTTAGATTTGTACATATGTATATATGTACATACACGAACTATGTAGTACGCGGCCGGCAAGATTCGCAGTTCACTACTCACTACTCAAGTAAAACACAAAACAATGAAATCGATTTCAAAACACTGTTTTGGCAAACATCAGCCAAGCCAAGTTCTTAACCACGCTTCCCCACTTCATTTTCACATTTGATTTCAAATTTAAAATACTAAACACTCAGACTCTTTGTTGCTATTCTTTATTCATATTTAAATTTATACGCATTGTTGCTGTATTTTTTCATAATTTTTTATTTCTATTTTTGTTGCCCACTAAGCGCTACACGTTTCATTCTGGTTTTCGTATCAGCGCCGAATCGAGTTGAATTCACTCGAATCGGATTTAGAATTTGCCGCTCAAATGAGAATTCAAAACCGTCGCACACGCCGCACAAAACACAACTGAGACTTGGAATAAAATTTTGTTCGCCGCACTGCTGTCGCCACAGGTCAGCCACATGCGTGTCTATGTGTGTATGCTTATGCGTGAAAGTGTGTGTGTGTGTGTACCTGTGTAGCTGTGTGTCTGTGCGTGGCTGTTTGTATTGGTTCGTGTGGAAAACTCGAAATTCACAGGTTGTTCATGTTGGTTTGTCGTGAAGTGTTGTCGCCCTTTGCGTTTTGTTCTTGTTTTAGCGTCGCAACATGTTCGCCATCGAACAAAACACAACATCGACAACAACAATAATGAGTGTGCGCAGAAGTGGTATTCAAAAAAATAATACAAAGAATAAATAAAATGAAATGAAAAATAATAAATTTACTTGCAACTGTCGGCGTATGACCAGAGAACTTGGAATAACTATTTATTTATTCTAAGTTCTCTGCGTGACCAGCTACAGCTCATATATATGTATATGCCATCCAATACTTTAAATGGTATATACATATATTTATATTTACATACATGTTTAATGTTGCTGGCGTGTCTGCTCTTTCAACATTTTTTAATGTTGAGACACTTTGTATGAGATACACTGCGACCCCAGTTGGAAATCTTAGAGTTACAATTTTTTCTCATATCGCGATACTCAGTCGTTTGCATGTTTTTATCCCCTTTTGGTACGATTTAATAAAAAAAAAAGTATGCATTCTTCATAGTCGCAGGAATCAGCTTGACATTCATAGACTGCCAAACTCTAATCCATTACATTTCTTTTACTTAAATATATAATGACCGATGTTGGCAATAAATTTTTACAAGAATGAAATCTTACAGACTAATAACAAATCCGCCGTGTCTCGTACCAAGAAATTCTAACGGTAAACAGTATGTGGTAGGATCTGTGACATTACCACGAGTAAAAAAAATGTGTTGCCAGATTCGGTAAACGAGAAATTTTAAACTAAATTAGTTATCATCTTCAACAGTACTCATGACGAGTGTAGCTCGTCATTGTGCGATATGGCATAAAATGATTGACGAGCTAGACTCATGAAAAGTCCTTGAATTTTGTTACGAGCTTGCAGACCGCGGCACACATTGTTGTGGCTTGCTGTATTTCGTACAATTCATATTCTAATTGGTGTTGCAAATAACGATAAATACCTTAATTGAGCATCATCTAAGTCGAAATAGGAAGTTCTCTACTATATTATTGATCTGATTACTTGTTTGTAGTATTCCTTTGACATAAAATAAATGCTCCTTATAAGGATTCATCAGCCGATTGGAGGCGGTGCCTCCCTTCATTGGAAAAGCATCAAGACGCACTTCGCAAAGTGAAGAAGAAGCTTGGTCAAACATCGCTTTTGCGGTTACAAAGCGCCAATTATATACATGTATTATAGATTAGACGATCAAGCCTTGGACGTAAAAATAGTCAAAATATCACTTATAACCAAACGCAGAATTTATGGAGAGAGGTCCATTTACCACTGATTCGTGCTGCACAATCACTAAGTAATGATAATAATATCATTCGAAGAAAACCAATAATTAAAATAAACATTAATCGCACTGCTTTCGAATACCGCAACCGCATACAATGATCTTCGCAGCGTGAATAATGTTTCCTTTAGACACCCTCCGTTTGCGTGAAATCATCTATGAGAGACTTCTGAAGAACTCAACCAGTCCAAACTAATTCGACCTTTATACCAGAATTTTCGATTAATCCAAGTGATCATTCAATGGTTAATTTTTATGATGACAACAATAACTCACAAGTCCAATCGTTAGACGTTTTAAGGAATTTTCCCAAGGTTCCGCATTGTTGTGGCGCATTGTCGTCGTTGTTTGTTTCTGTTCATATAAATTCCTCTGAGCTCATAAAATAAAAAAAACATAATTTTACATTTAAATTAATTTCTTTAAGCCGGAAGTATTAACTGGTTCCCATAATAAAATAATTCAAAGGGTATTTTTTCATGTGATTTTCAAAAAAAAAAAAAAAAAAAAAAAAAAAAAAAAAAAAAAAAAAAAATACGCATAAATTATTTAACAATATGGAATTTATGTTGTAGAAATGATTTCGGTCAAGTGAGCGCCGCCTCGACCACTTTTTTCAGCAATATCACGTCAAGTATTATCTTTCTAGGCGTCAATTGTCTCAGGCTAATTTGCATAGACGAAGTCGTTCGTGGTCGCGAGATATAATATTATGCTCGCGAAATGTTTCTTGAAATTAATTTTATTACTTCGTTGGCTATATAACATGTAGAGCTGTCTTGTTGGTGCCGATGGTCGTCCTCATTAACATCCACCATTCCAAAGTAAAATTATGGCCGTGTTCTTTTTGAAAAGGCGTCTCAATAATGTTTGTGAATTATCAACAATCTAAATGCGACAATATTGTTCACTAACATGCCCATTCAACTAAATCATCGTCACTGAACAAAATTGTTTTGTAAAAATCGGGATCGGTGGTTATCTCATTTTGGGCCCATTTACCGAACGTGCGACGTGCTTGATAGTCTTTCGGCTTTAATTCCTGTACAAGTTGGTTTTTGCAAACTCACAAACCAATATTCTTCAGCAAAATATTCCTTAAATTAAATGGGCACAACTCTAATTGCTGCTCGCGATAGCGTATTTACTCATTCGGCTTTCTTCGATAGTCTGCTCCACAGCAGCAATAGCGTCTTCGGTACGCACTGTACATCGTCTCTGGCTATGCGGTTATCTCGACCGAATACTGGACGTAGCGCGCGATGCTTGATGCCAACCGAATCATTATTTTGGAAATAAGTTTGCTCTATTTACACATATCCAAAAAAAAAACACCCTGTGTGATTTTTATTTATTGATTTTATTTTGAATATAAATTCACACATAGATTGTTATACGATATCCTGATTATGAGCTCTCTCTTTCGTTACCGATACCTCGAAACGCAATTACATGTACCTTCGTATAAATGTACATATGTACGTATGTGAGTACAAATTCCCTTATGCATACATATTGTTTAATTATTTAACATATCTATATATGTATATACATTTGGCGTGTAGAATGGTCACGTGTACTCCCCAGAGAAGAACGAGTTGTTGTTCTGTCCTGCCTTCCTTTGAACGCAATTGGATTATTTCTAACAACAAAATGCCAAGTGGCTTAATTATTTAAATGTCAACTAAAAGGCAAAAAAAAAAAAAAAAAAGAAAAAAACATTTCAATAATTTTTCTCTTATATAAAGAGTTTCATGAAAAACTTTTACTTCCATTTTTTTAATGAAAATTACCCCAAAGAAACTTCCATTCGCTTTATTTATTTTTTTTCTTTTGCTTTAGATTTGAAATATTAAGTTCTGAAGTTTGTATAAATATGATGATGGTTAAAAGTAAAAGTTCATTCATTGAAAAGTTATGGAAAAGGTGCATACGAGTGTATGAGTTAGATTACCTTGGGGATCATGAAATTTCCCTTTAAAGCGTCTCATCAAATTTATTGCTTAGCTTTCTCCGTTTTGTACTTGTCAAACTTTTTGGAGCACTTCAAAGTCTTTTAGTCATATATGTATGTCTGAATAAGTATGGTTTCATGCTTTCATATTAAAAAGGACTAAACACGTGCAGGAGCTAAACTCACATTACTTCCATTCATCCGGTTTGTCTCTACACACTTTCTTTTGCGCTTTCATCTTTTCTTTCATCGACTAATGAGGGTCATTATATAAGAAGTTCAAGTGTGAAGAAATCACAAATTACCAAAATATTTACACGTAACTTCATATACGTATTTGAGGACAAACATATCCTGGCATAAAAAGAGACATGCCTTCAAAATGAATTACTTTCCAAGTGAGTGTTACTTTTCTTAAAATAAAAAATTAAAAAAAAATAATAAAATAAGTGAGTCATGAGTTTTTTTGAGTTTTCCATATTAAGATTTAAATATCAGGTTAAGTAAAATCCATCGTTTTGCTTGACAACATTTTGCCATTTCGGCGATAATGTCATTATGCCTCTCTCATAAAAATCCTTGTCTCTAGTTGCCAAAGCAGTTGCCTTAAGCACTTGGTGCGAGGTACATACCTTCTGGTGAGTCAATGTGGATGTGCGTGCTTTGATGTTATCTATTAAAATTAATTTCATTTCCGTTTTTCAAAGATGGGCGCTTCTGGGCTTTTGCTTTCTTCAGCTGAGTCGTTGTTGATCAAAAATCTCGACTGCCTTTTGATCGCGCCTGTTTTCCCTTTACTTCCACTTTCCACTTTTCATAACTAGTCTCTATCCGCTTCGGTCCATGAGGATTTT